GAGTTTAGCGTGGTAGTAGTAGCAAGGATTTTGCCTTTATAGCTGGTTACTTTATGTTTTTGGATTCGCTGGTGAATAAATAATCAGGAAGATGTAGAAGACGAAATTTTTTAAGTCTTATTGAAAGTAATCCGGATTTAATCGCTACACAAGTAAAAAGCGCAGCACAAAAAATAAATCAAATTTCATAAAACCGCATCAATTCCGAAATTTGCGAAAAAAAAAGCCAAATAGAAATGTATTTATAACGCCTCTCTAGGAAAATTTTAGCGAATAGAGACACCCACAAAACTTTGATAAACCAATAGTTTTACGAAGTTCAATGGAGTTAAAAAAAATCCCCGAGTTTCTACAAAACCTGCTAAATTTCTGCAACGTATAATAAAGTTCCACAAAATTCTTTGAACTTCCATAAAATTTGCTGATGTTATATAAAATTATCTGCATTTCTACGAAGTTCACAGGATTTCGCTGAACATATATAAATTTTGCTGAGTTTTTAACAACGTTAGCTGATCTCCCTATTTACTACACCTGTAGAAAGTTTCCAAAACTTCTTCACAGTTCCCATATCTTTTACGAAGTTGTTTTTAAAGTTCTACGAAGTATCCTGAAGATCTATGAAGATCCTTGACTTCTATGAAGTCTGAAATCAAATGATGTTCTATTAGCTTCTACGAATTACTCTTGACTTTTAATAAGTTCAATGAAATCTGAAATATTTAACACTTTTTGCCACCCGCAAATTTTGAAAGTAGCAATGAAGACATTTCGTCGATCTGGTTGAAGATTTTTTTTTTCTAAATACACCTGGCATCCCTGCTTCAGTATCTCACTCCAGTGCCAGCAGCCTCAGATGCTTTAGTTTGCGCTCCGTATGTAATTTGATCATCGACTCCGATTGACATATGAATCATTCCGGCTCAAGTGTATACAAAGTTGTGGTCAATGTCACCGACTTCAACCAAACTTTGCCAAAATGCTTATTTTGATATTCTAAGAAAACACCTTTTTAGACTTTGACTATATGTTTTAGTATTACTTCTACGTGAAGTCAACGATTTACATAGTTGAAGATGCTAATTTCAAATAACAGACTGTAGTGGTAATTTTTATACGATAGATGGAGTAGATGAAAGCATAGATTTAATAGTTCCGTTAGAGTACGGCAGTGTGAAGATTGCATATAGATATTAGAATAGCGAGCTAGGACAACTTTTAAGGAAGGTACAAATCGGTTTCTTCATCTCTCTTTACCAAACTCCCCCTTTGGAGAGGGATGGTGAGGGGTGTCCCCCCCCCCCGCCACCACTGGCAAAAAGAGATGAAAACCGACCGCTCAAGTACCAACTGCGTGTTTGAAACAGTTCTACCGATTTTTTACCGCATCTTTGTTGTTGCGAGTTGTCCTAGCTCGCTATTCTAATATCTATATGCAATCTTCACACTGCCGTACTCTAACGGAACTATCAACTCTATGCTTTCATCTACTCCATCTATATAAAAATTACCACTACAGTCTGTTATTTGAAATTAGCATCTTCAACTATACCAACCTTTTTAGATTTTGCTCTAAAGCGCTTTTAGATTTTTAGAAATTATATCTATGAATAGAGATTACTCCTCAATGAAACATGTTTTATACGTTCTTGGCTCACCATTTGAAGAATCAAATAGATTCATCAAAATCTGATTCAAACTACATTAAAGAGCCCAATTATTGGAAGGTATTCATATTATCAATAAAGGCCCTTTTTCATACAGCGCGGGATTTGATGTTTTTCAAGATATTGACCTGAAAATCTATATGGAAAAACTATCTACTAGATGTGTTCTGAACATGTGGTTTTTTGAGATATGGCTAGATGTGTGATTGGCCATCTGGTTATATCTCCTGAGGTATTCCAATATATGGAGGAAATATCAGGTTAGAATCTTTAAAAAATAACAAAATCCGAGTGTTATGAAAATCGGCCTTTTTTGATAATTTGGATACCTTCTAACAATCGGTCTCGTTACTGCAGTTTCAATAGAAAAACAATTGTTTTGCAAATTTTACATACAAAATGGTGGGTCAAGAACATACATCATTTGTTTGGTTGAGGAGCATTGGCGTAACTAATGCGGGTGCCAGGGGGGCCAGCCCCCCTCCAGAATTATCTAGGCCCCCTCCAGAATTTTTGGTGTTTGTTTTTGACTCACCGGTATTTTGTCAAGCTTGTTAAGTTCAATGCTACTATTTAACAGTGATTAATAAAATTGGACCACCAACAAAGATTTTTTAAAGTCCTTTATGTTGGTAAATTTTGTTATGAGTTGGACTAGAAGAAACAATTTTCAGAAATTATATAATATCAAATCGATGGCAATAAGACGTCTTCAGGCTCTACAAATTGGCCATGAGCCAAGGAATTTTTTTCTTTAACTTGTGGAAACTTCGTAAAACTTCAAATAGAAGTTCAGGGAAGGTCGTAGAAATTAAGTAAACTTGGTAGATATCCTGGGAAATTCATAGACCTTCAGAAACATTCGTAGAAAAAAGGAACTTCGAAAAGTTCTGAAAACTGCGTAGATGTAGAGAATTCATTTAAATTCGGGGAACTTTGTAGAAGTTGACGAAATTTTGTAAACCTAAGTTTTGTAGATGTTCAGGAAACGTTGCATAAGTTACAGGATATTCTTTCAAACATCCTTCCTAGACATCAGGAAGTATTCGAAAGATCTCCATAATGTCCAAGATATTAGTAAAGGTTACTGGATATTTGGTAGGTTGTAGGTTGATCAGGAAGTATTCAAAAGTTTTCCAGCTAATGGAATCAGATGGAATCTTGAATGATGAATCTTGATTTTATGGCCATATTTGTACATTCTCTATAGCGAAGACTCGTGCCTTGATGTTTTTATATTGTCACAAATTTGCACTCCAGCAGCTAAATTCCGGGCAGAAATTTCAATTTCTGCATATACCTAATATGTATTAATTTCTTTCTTTTCGAATATCCTTTTTTATTAGTTACAAAATCTGGAAAACAAATGGGTTTGTTTGCAGCATATGCATGTACGTAATTAGTGGATTTGTTAGTTATTTCGACGCTTTTTAACAATTCTTGACATTTCCCATTTTTTAAATAATTTCTTGTTGAAAATCAACAGCATTGCTATCGATGCGTAGAAATATTTCTGATCGATTGGTGATAAAGTTATTGAAATTGGTCCAGGAGCAGCTGAGTTATTAATGTTCAAAATATTTCATAATTTCGTTACTTGTTCCATTTTCAGTTTTCACAAAAATATAGAAATATAAACATATAGAAATCACAGACATATAGAAATCACCGACGTAGTCCTACGTCAAAAAATGGTGCATCTTGAACATTTTCCTACGTCCTAAGTGTATTAAATTTATTCTGTGTGCACTTTACCTTGAAACAGCCAGAATTTTATAAAATTATAAAATTCAAACTCCTATAATTTAATTTTGGTTCTATGTCTGAGATTTGACTGATCAAAAAAAAAATCTAGTTACAAAATTCATAAAATTACCTAACCATGAGAATTTTCTTAAGTTTGAGATGCTTACATTTACAAGATCCGGACTATGATTTTATTACAAAAAACGTGAACAAACGATCATTGCTTGTTCAAAATCAGTAAGCGTTTAAGGCTCTCCCAATCGAGGTCCCAATCGTTGTTATGGAATAAATTTAATCAAATTTATTGTTTCATCATTAAAATAATAGTAAGCCTCAATGTCATATTATTGGTTGAAAAAGTGTAGCAGGCCCCCCTTCGGCCCCCTCCAGATAAATTTTCTAGCTACGCCAATGTTGAGGAGTAATCTATATTCGAAGATATAATGTAGTGACTTTCCGGCTGAAAAGCTCAAAATTCATAGCCGCTGTTAATTAAATGGAACTTTTCCATAATTTCGGGGGGATGTTATTTAATATGAAATATCACGAACTTCAGTAAAGCCTCTAATAATAGGATCCTCTTTAATAAAGAAAACTAATTAACTAACTCTAATAATAGGATGATTAGCTAGTGACATAAATCTACGCTCAAAGAAATCCATCGTGCTTTAATTCATGCTCACTTCTGCCAATCCGGGAACCCCTTTGCATTGGACAGACGCAATCCACACCACTAGTAGTGACGTTCAATGCTTTCTTCCTCCCGCTCTACTATTCCCATGTGTTGGGGACGTACCTACGCCTATTTATGTTATTTATCGTCGCCCTACAGTTACACCCATGTGGATTCCAACAACGGAGTGTATGAATATGAGCAGCGCAGAACAAACTATTAAACAACTATTTATGCGTCAAAAAAAAAACCGTGGTACTAAGCAGACCTACTGAAAGCCAGACAGCATTAAAGAGTAGAAGGTGTTCGGTGAAGCACGTTATTCGGAAAACGATTCGACTACCTACATGAGACTGCATTTACCTAGGTAGCTCCTCTTTATTTTTCTTCCCCATCCACCTATTCCTCAGACGACCTTATCTCATCCATTGCGTGTTTCTTGCGCTATCAGCAAGGTACCTATTTTCTAAAAATAATGCAGCAAGGAATTTTCAAAGTTTTTCAACTAGTTTCTGCTTAAGGGTAATTTTCCCTTCATAAAGGAATAATAACCTTTAGGTATATAAATGATGAAAATCAACGCAAATTGCACTAATTAAAACAATAGCAATATAGGAGACGAATAGTAAGAAGCAGTCGACTTCGTATGAAACATGACGTAAGGCTTCTCCTCCCTCGCTTCGTTCTCATCCACCTCTCATGTTAGCAGTCAGCGGAAACTCTGGAAGCGATACATATTCTCTTCCGTTCGATTCCGTCGATCTCTCAATGCCACTTTCTACTTTCTTCACTAATAAATTTCTCTGTGTTTTGCACCTGCTGCTGCTGCTGCTGTTCCATTCGGCAAAGGAGTGTCCCCGCCCCGAGCACCCCGCACAGCGAAAATTAGACAATATGCTAGCAACGGGACTTACCATTGTTTTCCGGCGTTTTGGCCTCCTCGTCTCCCTTCACATCCATGGGCGTCGGTGCCGCACTGCTCGACGGTGGCGTCGGTGTGGCCGCTGCGGAAGTTGGCGTATTACCTCCGCCGGACGAGGAAGTTCCTGTGGTGGTGTTGGCAGTTGGCGTTTCAGTCGGCTCCGGCACCACTGCTGGTGTCACTGCCGCCACCGTTGCGACCGAAGCTGTCGTGCTGGCAAAGCTCGGCACAAACTCCAGTGCATTCACGTTCAGTTTAGAGAATTTCGCACTGATCTCATTCGAATCGGTCTCCTGAGACATTTTGCTGATTTTTTTCTTTTCCTTTTCTTCCTTGCACCGATTAAACTAAAACCTTGTGTCACACACAAACGGGGTGTAAACTGGTTGTAATTTCTTTTCCTTCAACCCAAAAAGAAAGGAAACGAAACGCAAATCTTTCCTCCTCACACAGAAACGACGACCGTCCGGAGCCGAAATCCGTGGAACAACGCGAGAAGAGAGGAGGAAACGGGAACAAAAGAACCGAAAAAGAAGACGGACACCGACCGAAAAAAAAACCTCCGGCACACCAAGGGAAGTAGAACCGAGATCCGTCTACGCAACAAAACCACTGTCCACGGGCACAGAATCGACCAGGGTTCCGTCAAGCACTTTCACCGAGTGGCCGCGATAGAAAATCTGCGAAAAATCAGCGATTTCCGAAGCACACACGCGTTTTCGCCACACTTCTTTCAAACCACATTCGTCAAAGATGGCCACATAGACTGATTTTTTGTGCTCACTCTCTCGGAGATTGGGCAATCCGCTCTCCCAACTCTCGTCAGCACGTCAAAAAATCCCTCTCCTCAACTGTCACGGAACAGCCGCCCAAATTAGACCAATTTTTGACGTTTTCACCCGGCGGAACGTTCCTGAAGGGATTATCACACGTGCGCTTGATTTGTTTTTGTTTACTTTGCTCATTCATCGGAAGATTTTTACCGCCGGAAGAATCATGCATAAATCGCGTAATTATAAAAAGAAAAACCACCGGAACAGCACAAACACGGGCAAAAACAAAAAGCTTGCAGAACAGGTGATCTATTTCTCTGTAGTAGGTAGATTTCCTTCAAGCTAATAACAATCCATTGCAGGTGGCCGATCTGGCTATCGGATCTTCGGACAGTAGTTCTGATGAAGAAAAGGCCGGTAGCTCGGAAGAGGAGGCGGGCGGCAACGATAAATTCGACTTGGGAAAGCCTCCCCATTTCCCCGTCAGTATGTGGGATTTGAACCACTGCGATCCGAAGAAGTGCTCCGGGCGGAAGCTGGCCCGGCATGGGTTGATCGATAATCTGCGACTGGGACAAAAGTAAGTGAAATACAAATTTATTACCAGCGTAGTAGTAACAGGTTAACCAGTAAACCGGGGAAAAGCCGGGCATTCGGAGTTACCGGGAAAATATAAACTTCGTCCTTTCATAAAACAAAATAATTGGATTTGGAAAAAATATGACTCTTGGACTGAACTAGATTTTTAGCATTAAAGCCACTGTGAAGTATTATGCTGAAGCGACGCAAAATACCGATGGAAATACATACATATGTAGCATCTATTATACGACCAACTACAATAGCTCAACGGCTCAACGACTGAATTCCATTGACTCAGAGCATTTTCTTTCCATAAGAAATTTACTCATATCTAAAGAAAAAACGGCAGTTAGCTCATAGCCGTGTATATCTACTAGAACATACATTATTCAGTTAAGATTTGTAGCCCTGTTGTAGGTGCTTGTAGTACCTATCGTAGAATTTATTTTCGAGTAGCATGAGTTTACTACTTTTGTTCATAGGATCCAATCTATGTAAGATTTATGATGTAATCCACAATATATCATTTCGACAATCCGAAAATCTTTCACAGATTCCCCGGACTGGTATTGACTCCCGTTGGAGTGAACTGCGTCAGCCCGCTAGACAGAGACATCATCGAAAAATCCGGGATCGCTGTCGTCGATTGCTCGTGGGCTCGGCTTGAAGAGACCCCGTTCAACAAGATGAAGTCGCCCCATCCAAGATTGCTGCCGTTTCTGGTTGCAGCTAATCCAAGTATTTCGTGAACAACCAAAAAGCAAATAAAATCCTAAATTGATCTTAATTTTCAGTCAACTATGGTAAGCCATGTAAGCTATCATGCGTGGAAGCGATAGCCGCCTCGATGTACATTACCGGGTTCAAGGATGAAGCTCTTTGGTATCTAAACAAATTCTCTTGGGGTCACTCGTTCGTCGAGCTAAATCAAGAGCTACTGGATTCGTATGCAGCTTGTGCCAACAGCAAAGAGATTCTGGAAGCTCAAAACAAATACCTGGCGGAGGCTGAAGCAGAGCAAAAGAATAGAAAGTACGAGCTGGATCTGCCCCCGAGCGAAAGCGAGGCAGATGATGAAGATGATGATGCTGAAGAAGGGAAGTGATGTTAGCAATTTATTGTGATAAAATGGTAAATTAGCGTATGAAATGTGTTTGTATTTATGTGATAAAAATAAATATATTGTCCCAATCTCGATATTTGGTACCTTAGTATTGGGTCAAACCTCTTGGGTCAAAGTTAAGTTAAGTTTTCTTTATTAGGGAGGCTTTCAACCTGAGGCTGGTTCGCCTTCGCAAACTTGGGTCAAAGTAGTTTCGTTTACTTGTGTGCAATTCGTATGGAATTTTCCAATCGCTTTCTACCCAAAAGTATAAGTAAGTTGTACACACTAATGGCGGTAAGCTCCAACTCGGATTAATTTTTAATACCGTCCCTGTATGGATGATCTGCAAAGTGTTTGCTTAGAGTCGTGTTGATTAACTCTGATGTCGACATCAAAGCCGCCGGACATTCTTGATCGGGATTTCATGCGAGAATAATACCGGTTGGAGCTTACCACCATAAGATTTTATTTTCGTATTCGGTATATTTTACCGAAATCAAAACAGCTGACCGTTCGGTAAAACTTTGACCTTCGTTTTAAAGGCTATTGAATTTGAAAATAGTTTCAAAACATTTTAAACCTTGTTTAAATGATCAAATCTTGTCATTTTAGTGGAGATTTAGTTTCAAAGTAGCTGAAAATCAATTGAATTGCATAAATTTTACCGAACAGTTCAGTTGTTCAGATTTCGGAAGAAATTACCGAAGTCGGTGATAATTTCTAAGTGTGTACCCAAATGTAGGTAAACATGATTATACTCAACGTTACAACTGTCACACTAAAAAAGAAACAGACTTAAGGTTCAATTTACTTTGATATATTTTCGAAAAATTCAATTTATTCTGTTAATTCATTTAACTTACCATCTAACTCATAAATGGGTAAAATTTTACTCATTTAATGGGTAATCTCAGTTTCCCTCGAAAATGCTTACTATGTAGACATTATTGTGTATTTTGCGGTTACCGTGTAGTTTCCTAGACTTTACTACACGCTTACTTCAGCTTGCTCACCGGAAATCGATCGTACTCAATTTCGTCTGAGTAAAAGCCACACAGGCAGCCAAATCCGGGACATGAAAAAAATACTAGCCGTGTCGGAGCAAACTCTCTAAGAAACGGCGAAATTATTGTAAAACACCGGCCTAAATGTATTAAGGTAAGTAGGAGTTGCATGCGAAGATGATTTTAAGTCGTCTTCAGCTCCAGTTAAATGAATCTGGAGCAGGTAATTTTCATTTTTTATCAAAACAAAAAAAAACTTCCCGGCTAAAAATATTATAGAGTGGTTTTGACTCACTCTGTGCGAGAACGTCGTTTACTCAAAAGTGAGTAAAAGTGCGCCTACTCACTTTTGAGTAGCCTTACTGATAGAGATGTTACGAGTTTCCGTGTTATTGCATATTTGTAATCTACAAGTTATTGAGCATCCAGCAAAATACCTCAAATTTCTGAACATGCAGCAAGATATAGTTTTGCTGGAAGCTATTCAGCAATTTGTTTTGCTGGAACTCGATTCCAAACTTTGGTGTGTACTTATTATTCCTTGCGTTGGTTGCGTCGCATGTCGCGTCTTTTCTGGGGACGCCCTAATGGTTGTCGAGTGCATGAGTGCATGGGAAATTACAAACGATTCTGAAGGGCTGAAGCTCGTCTAATTGTGTACAGGGTGGCCAGAACTACCGATTTATCGGTAGTCCTACCGATTCACAGACGAAAGGTTAAAAACTACCGATTTTTCACTATTCCTACCGAGAATCACAGATTTTTAGTAATCTTGAAAAATGTTCAATACCTATGTTTTGTTTCCGTGTAGTCAGCATTAGAATTAGAAATATTGATTCCAACACGTTTAAAGCAGAAGAACTGAAGGACAACCCGCATAAGCGCGAACCATAAATTGACCTTACCTAAAATGGTTAAAATTGTTTATAATCCCTGCTAAACTTCAACTGAAATGGTTATGGAACTTTACATGAACGTTTAATGATAAAGTTTTAACCTTAAGTATTATAGTTTTTTGGAAGTGGACCTTACAAATAATGGGTTGTTAAGAACCATTACCATTCAATATTCTTGTTTTCTCCATACATTTTCACAAATAAAACTATACTAAAACCTTTTAACTTATGGTTTGAGAACATTAATGGTAATGGTTATGGTAACCAGTAAGGTCCATGAATGGTTTTGTAACATCGATCAACTTTATGTGGAATATATCGCGAATTGCTTGCCTGTAAATTACTGATTACCAATTCACGATATATTTCACGTAAAGTTGAGCGATAATACAAAACCATTAATGGACCTTACTGACTACCATAACCATAACCATTAATGTTCTCAAACCATAAGTAAAAACGTTCTAATATAGTTCTCTTTCCGAAAATGTATGGAGAAAACAAGAATTTGGAAAGGTAATGGTTCTTAACAACCCATTATTTGTAAGGTCCGCTTCCAAAAAACCATAATACATAAGGTTAAAACTTTATCACACAAACGTTCATGTAAAGTTCCATAACCATTTCAGTTGAAGTTTAGCAGGGATTATAAACAATTTATAACCATTATCGGTAAGGTCATGTGATGGTTCGCGTTTATGCGGGAATGTATTGTTCTGCAGCAGAGCAACAATGAATCGAGGAATGGTTTGCTTTATCTTTCCTTCTTCCGTTGTCTGCGAAATAAACCGGAATGTGGAGTGTGGAAAGCGTTTTGTGCTCATAATATTACAATACTTCTCCCTCAAACAACACCATCATGACGTCATGCTAAGTAGTTTGGCTACACTAACTGACAGTTCGTTTGGCTACATTATACTTTGCCTATCTATGGAATATATAGTATCTATAACCGATTATGCATTCTTATAGGACCTAAAGCCCTACAGTAAAAGTATGGACGACTGTCACCACAAAACTGAACAAAGCTGTTCCAATCGAGCAAAGCGGTTGACGGTTCGATTGGAACAACTTTTGACAGACGTCCATAATTTTACTGTAGGGCTTTAATAGGACCTATCTATAGTCGCTACACACAAAAAATAAACGTTAACAAAATTAAAAAAACCGTTGGTATAATTAAAAGTTTGCATTGGTTCTTTTTGGTAGAAAGTCAGAAACTTTCAATTGCAAAAGACATGAACAGTTAAAATAAAAATGCTGAATCCTTTGATTTTAAAAGTCACAACTTTTATGATTAAATTTTATAAATGTCAAATTAAAAGTTTCTACTTTTGAAATGAAATTGTAGAACTGTTTCATTTTAAGAGTAGGTTAGGTCAAAATAAATTTTATCTTATTTCAAAATGAGAGCGTAGTTAATCAAATAAAATTTTATTTCTTTTTAAACATAAAGTTCTTTGTTTTGATTTTTACGTATATATATTTTTTAAATGTAAAACTAACAAAAAAAATAAAAATATTGAATTGTGGAACTGTCCGCCATCCTTGTTAGCATCTGTTGAGCCGTCCATGCAATCCACTCCTCCTGCTTCAACCTTAAACTGTAGTGCTACCGTTTCAGCCATCTGGCTCAGAGTCCGGTGTGACCCAATCCGGAACGATGATCTTACTTTTGACTGATGCTGAAATTTTCGAAAAGAAAGCGATTCTATTATCGTAAAAAACTCTCTAGTCTGAACAAGGCATTATCGTATATATACATGGATCTAGGGGGAGTACAACTTGATATGAAGTAATATTTGGTGTAGAAATTGCTCATATTGGTTGTTATTATAGTTTTTAGTATAAATATTAATGATATTAACTGTCAAGTGGAAAGCTACAAAGTAAAAAAAAATAACAGTGTAGCTTTAACGCATACACTCAATGACGTTTCACCGTTGTTGTTTATGTTATCTGCAGCTTTCTGTTTCATCATGTTTGCCTAGATTTTTGTTTTCGATAGCTCTGATCTCTTTCGCCTTCGGCTTTTTCGATGATAAAAACGGCACTCGACTAGGCAAGTTTCCCCAGCAGCAAATCTCTCCAAATTGCAGGCTCATGGCGAATGTATTACGACCACGGAACCATCACTATGGGACTCCGTTTACAGGGGCACCGTAGTCAGTCGATTCCCGTTCCACCGGAGGACTGAACATTGGATTGCAGACAATGAAGAACTCGTGAAAATTAATGATTATTTCCTGGGAACGGAAGTGCCCCAGATTTTGTGCACTGAGATCAGCTACCAAAGAATGCCAAATTTATCAGAACAAGGAGTGGATTTTGGTGGCCCTGGCCAGCAAAATCATCAAGGAATGACTTGACTCTCGTGTGAAATCTATTTTTTGATTAAACGAATGTCAAATGTACACTTTAAACCAAAAATAACCAAACAAAAAAAAACAACTGTCAGACTAGGTGTAAGATTCGCAAATATCACACATATTAAAATATTTAATATTTCCACCATCGGTATTGATGCTGATACTTGGAGCCGTCCTTCCCCTAGACATGGATATACTTACCATATTGATCCTGTGGTATCCGTATTTTATTTATATTTTCAGCCGGTCTAGCTCACGGATGATCCGGTGAATGCAGCAGGGATTTGTTTTAAAAACTGGTCGAATAGAAATTAATAAAGCAAGCTTTTCAATTCTCGTTTTGCGCGTTTTTATTTTTATTTACTCACGTTATTCAAAAACTAACCAGAAATGAGTAGAAACCTACCCCCGAAGAAGTTGTTTTGACAGTAAAACAATTTTTGATTTGAAAATCTGCACTTTTAAAACTACAAGTTAAAATCAAAACATCTACTTTTGGATTGAAAATAACCTTGTTTTTTCAAATATTTTCATAGTTCAAGTAACAAATTTTGGGGTACTTTTAAATTGAAAGGTTAATATTTTTACTGATACAATTTTCGTTTTTTGTGTGTATATTCATAGTCTGGCGGATAGAATCTCGGGAGCCAATTGAGCTGTCAAATAGCGGAACCAATCGAGCAAATCACGACCAAAAGCAGAAAAAAGCACATCAGCTATTGCGAACAAAACTTCGGAAACCGTTTTCTCGTGACTCAAGGCTCGGCTACGCAAACTAACACCATCTTTAGGTTGGGGGAAATTTTCCCTATCTGATGATGCTGGTAATTTACCTTCGATTGGCGAGGAAAGAATAGTCTACGTTTTGTTTATAAAAGTTGATAGTACCTTTTCAATTGTTGGTCCACAATATATTGAATTTATTGATTCCGATTTTTGATAGATCAAAATTCTATCCGCCAGACTGTAAATGCTATAAATATAGCGACTATAGACCTATCTGGTTTCTTTTTATGGAATGTATAAGGGGCAGGGCCACCCACATTAGATCCGTTTGCGTTGCGTTGACGTAAATTTGACAGTTAGACAATAGATTAAGCTGTCACTTTGCCGCAATGCGTCCAATCCGGATCTAATGTGCGTGGGCTTTAAGGTAAAGCCGCTATATTCATAGTCTGGCGGATAGAATTTGATCTATCAAAAAGAGGAACCAATTCAATATATTTTAGACCAACAAATGAAAAGGAAATATTAACATTTATAAACAAACGTTGATTATTTTTTCCACGGCAATCAAACGCAAATTACCGGTGTCATCGGATAGGGGAAACTTTCCACAACCCGAAGATGGTATTACCATAGAGGTAACTCTAAGACCAGAAGGTCCCGAAGAAATGTGCTCAACTTTTTGGCTCAGCTCTGGTACTCTCTTCGGTCCCAAGCTAATCGATTCACCCCTCGAAACATAGGAAAAACCAATAACCCCTCATTTTATCTGTCAAACTTTCATAGCGAATCAAAACAAACATTGCGTAGAACTAGAATTTCGACTAGAATAGGGTACGTTAATCGTTTGCTTGGGACCAATAGGCTAGTCAAGTAGTGAGCCAATTTAAAATCGTTAGTTTCGTATTGATTGTTGGTATTACCAACAATCAATACGAAACTAACGATTTTAAATTGGCTCACCACTTTAGTAGCCTATTGGTCCCAAGCAAACGATTAACGTACCCTATTCTAGTCGAAATTCTAGTACTACGCAATGTTTGTTTTGATTCGCTATGAAAGTTTGACAGATAAAATGAGGGGTTATTGGTTTTTCCTATGTTTCGAGGGGTGATTCGACAAGCTTGGGACCGAAGATAGTACCAGAGATGAGCCAAAAAGTTGAGCACGTTTCTTTGGGACCTACTTGTCTTAGAGTTACCTCTATGGTATTACCATAGAGGTAACTCTAAGACCACTGGGTCCCGAAGAAAATCATCATTATTTTTGGCTCACTCAGTACCAGAACAACGGTCCCAAGCAGTCCCAAGCTATTTCACTCACCCCTGCATGTTCTGCATGAATCCACACACCCCTGATGTTATCTGTCAAACTTTCATAGCGAATCAAAACAAACATAGTGTAGTAATAGAATTTCAACTAGAATAGGGTACGTTAATCGTTTGCTTGGGACCAATAGGCTACTAAAGTGGTGAGCCAATTTAAAATCGTTAGTTTCGTATTGATTGTTGGTAATACCACATGTATATGATAATAATTCCACCCACAAAATAATTCAAGCTGAACATTGCATTAGGTCCTAAATAACATTGATCGATTCTCTTCGTCAACTTTGTCTTTCGTTAATAAAGGCCCAAGCGCAACGTCAGCGGAAAAGCCCGATATGAGTTAGCCTACTTGTCATCGGATTGAAAACTAGTTAGAACCAAATCGACTTCGGTTGGGCATCTTGATGTCAAATTTTGTGACAACTATCAAACTTTCCGTTTCCGATACGCTTCCACCCAAAGGGGGCGACACATCTAAATCTCAATTCTAGATGCTCAACATATCTCACACTAGCGAATCAATCTTCGGAAAAATTTCTTTCATTTCTTGCATCGCGCGTCATCGTTTTGCAAGAAATCTTCAGAATCGTCATCAATCTTCTTTCTATCTACTCAGCGTGCGCGCAGCTAACCACAGCAAAATACAATTTTTCCTGCATCGTAGATAGAGTCGCACCAACAATCAATACGAAACTAACGATTTTAAATTGGCTCACCACTTTAGTAGCCTATTGGTCCCAAGCAAACGATTAACGTACCCTATTCTAGTCAAAATTCTAGTACTACGAAATGTTTGTTTTGATTTGCTATGAAAGTTTGACAGATAAAATGAGGGGTTATTGGTTTTTCCTATGTTTCGAGGGGCGAATCGATTAGCTTGGGACCGAAGAGAGTACCAGAGCTGAGCCAAAAAGTTGAGCACGTTATTTCGGGACCTTCTAGTCTTAGAGTTACCTCTATGGTCGCACCCCTCGCTTCCACCCATATTGCGTTTGGGCCTAAACTTGAGCACATAACTGTTTGTTGCATTTGCCGTATTAGATGCTAGATAAAAACTTCTTTTATCGATCTGTGTGCAGAAAAAAACCTGGGATTGTCTTTGATTGGCAGTGGGGATACAAAAAGAAAGTCGACGAAGAAACTCTGTCAATGTTACTTACACACTAAGTTTTGTTCACCGAATCTCGGCAACATAATTGCCGAGATGGGCACCACTGAGTGCTCGGCAAACAGCAAATTTGCCGGGGATCTCGGCAATCATAAAATTCACGGTTGTAAATTTTTGTCGAAAATCTCAGTAAACAAAATTACTGATTGCTCGGCAAAAGCATCCCTACGGTATTAAAAAATACTGGATATCGGCATTTGTTGTTTGTTTCGAAGAAGAAGAAAAATATATTATCATGTGAAAAATAGTTGCAAAATAAGGAACACTGCAATGGGATTATCATTCTGTATTTCATTCAAAATCACACATCACAGGAAGTTATTCGGGATTTACATTTGAGGAACAAGCAGCAGCAGCAGGGAATGCGTATTCCGGATATGAATGTGTATATGGCGCTAAAACTCTTCGACATTGGCTTGGTTAAAATTTGATAGATGTAAAGTTATCGATTAACTCTGCTCGGATAGCAGGGTAAATCGATAACTTTCCATCTGTCTAATTTTAAACAAAAGTTAAAAAAATCGCCAAATGGTTCAGAGCCTAAGTAGTGAGGTGAGGTGACTCTCCGTGCAAATCAAATGGAATGAGCTCACCTTACTCGCGGCGCAGAATAGGTATCTTTAGCTATTTTACACAAAATACGGGAGCTTTTTGCAATTTGAAATGATGCGTCGCCCTAATACAAGTTTTATGGTTATTTTGCTTGACAACGTATTCAGGGTATCATCCTAACCATTTGTGAAATAGTTCTATCATTTGGGTTATCGTTCGTTTATGGTATTTTTGGGGTGATAAAAACTGGGTTTGAATTTATCGAAAATATAACAAAGTAAATCCCCATAGGTGCAATGTGCATTAGTAGACAGTTTTCTGGGATTCTTGCCCCCTCCCCCTGCGTAGACAATTGTTCATACAAAAAAAATGTATGGGCCGTGGATAATAGCTAATAGTAGTTAATGAACCGCCCCTAATCAAGACCAACGCAGCCGACAACAGCACATAGAAAAAATAATGTATCATTTACCGATTCTATGCGTATTTTTATTCTATAACCAGACATTTAAACCCTCGCAAAAACATTCTTACAACGTGGGCGCTCGTCGGTCGACCTTTGTTTGCGACCGACTGCGCTTTATTGCCAAACGTTCACGGGCGGCCTTCTCGTGGCGGCGGCGAAGCCTTTCCAAAGTCTCCGGTGACAGCTCCGCAGCCAGGGGTTTTTCCGCCTCCCGGATGAAGTTTCGTAGCTTCTCCAAAGCATCGGCAGTGTTCATCTGCTGTGAGCGGGTCAGTTCACTTCGGACGAACAGGTATCCATCCTTGGTAACACGGTTCTTTTGCTGAAATGAAGCGGGAAATGCGTTATTGCAAATCTATTACGTTTTAAGATGATATTCACAGCGTTACCAATTCAGCCAATCGCTTTCTGGTGCCTTCCGGTAGCCAGCTGGCCGATTCCAAGTGAAAACGTATATCGACTTTTGTGCTAACAGTGTTGACATTCTGACCTCCGGGACCACTGCTGCGGCTGTGGGTTACTTCCAACTTGTCCAGTGGGATGAATCCGTTGAATTTATCACCCGATGAAGACTAAAATTTTAATATTAAAAAACTTAAGTAATTAAGTCTCAAATTCAAACACCGGCTCAAATCAAGGGCCACCAATTCTACATCTTACCGGCGGTGGAGGAGTGTACAACCGTAAATTGCTAGAGGGGTAAATTTTGTCCAGCGAAATATCGCTCTTAAAACTGTAATTTCTCCTCAGTAAATGGTACGACTGTTGCGGTATTCTAAAGCTGGCACCTCTCAGCAGTAAATTCACCGCAATTTTGTTCATTTTGCACACTTTCACAGGAAAAATCAAACTCTTTCCACGCGAATCAACTTTCGTCACACGCACGGCTGCAATGTTTTGATGCTGTAATCGTCGAAATGTCACAAAGGATTGACATTTTGAGCTATGGAATGCAGAATCCACCTCCCATTGCTGCTGTCACTTTTCACGTGATATTTCGGCTTGTTTACGATTCACGACGGTTTCGTGTTCATAATTGTATCGCAAAAAGAGGTTCAAAATTAAAGTCAAATTTTACCGGAAAAATGGAAGATCCCAAGGTTGATGAAAAGCTCAAAACGATCCGAGAGGGCACTGCAGAAATTCTGGTAGCAGAGCACGTTTTCTACAATCCTGTTCAGGAGTTTAATCGCGATTTGAGTATCAGCGTTCTGTCGACTTTTTCGCGGATTTTTCAACGAGAGAAGACCGAAGCTCGCCGGAAGAAAGCCAAAGAGGGTGATCCTCCGGTGGAGGAAGTTCATATTGCTCCCGGCGAGAAATGTAAGGTAGGTTGTGGGTGCATTTTCGGTCGGGATAGCTCAGATGTTAACGGTTGATCATAATTGCAGGAAGGACTTCGAATCTTGGAAGCTCTTTCGGCAACGGGACTCCGTAGCGTCCGGTACGCGAACGAAGTTCCTGGAGTGAAGGAAATTATAGCGAACGACCTGTCCAAATCGGCTGTAGAGTCGATCGAGAACAACGTCAAGCACAATAAGCTGGAACATCTAATAACTCCCAGCTACAATGATGCCATGTAACAAGTTACCAGTAGGGAAAATGCACCTATTTTGGCCATGTTTTGATAAAATTTCACATGTTCAAAATCTTAGTTATGTTAAGATTGTTGAATTCTTTTCCATCGGGTGTATTATAATATGTGCTATACCCCACAGAAAGCACGAAGGTTGTAATTTAATCGTTTTTGTATGGTCAAAACTGGTGCACTTACCCTGCCATTTTGATAAACCAAAAGCTAAAACGACTGATATTTTACAGGACCCTTATGTACACGTCAACCCATCCGGACAAGCGATTCACAGCTATCGACTTGGATCCATACGGTCACCCGACACGCTTTCTCGATGGAGCCGTTCAATCAATCGAAGACGGTGGACTGCTGCTTATCACGGCCACGGACATGGCCGTTCTAGCGGGAAATTCTCCGGAAGCGTGCTACGTAAAATACGGTTCCGTCCCTTTGAAAACTAAGGCCTGTCATGAAATGGCTCTCCGGATTTTGCTACGATGCATTGAAACAACCGCCACTCGGTACGGTCGTTACATGGTTCCTCTGTTGAGTATTTCGGCGGACTTCTATATTCGAGTGTTTGTCAGAATATTCACCGGTCAGTACGCTTGCAAGAAGAGCAGCAGCAAGCAATCGATGGTTTTCCAGTGTACTGGCTGTGAATCGTTTACGCTTCAACCTCTAGGGATATTGAGGCCCAATCCGACCGAGCAAAATCCGAACCAAATTAAGTTCGGAACTCCGACGGGCCCATTCGTGTCCAGCAGATGCGTACATTGCAATCATCAGCATCATATGGGTGGACCCATCTGGTCGGCACCGCTCTACGATGAAGATTTCCTCAAGGAGCTGCTTCGAACGGTTGAAATGGAGCAGTTCAAGAAGCTCAACACTATACGACGGATCTACGGCACCTTATCCGTCATACGGGAAGAACTGCATGACATCCCACTGTACTACACGTTGGATCGTCTGTGCGGCATTCTCAAACTCGAATCTGTTCCGATGATGAAGCTTCGATCCGCTCTGCTTCACGAAAGTTATCGTGTTTCCTATTCTCACGCATCAAAGACTTCCATCAAAACCAACGCCCCGGTTTCGGTTCTTTGGGACATTCTTCGGTTTTGGCAGAAGAGCCATCCGGTCAAGAAGGAACGGCTAATAGAAGGCACTCCGATCGCGGCTATTCTCGCCAAAGAACCGACGAAGGAATACCGTCTGCATGACATCCACCCTGATGCCAATCCTCCGAGTCGGAAAGAATCGCTCAGTCGATTCCCGGAAAACCCCGCCGCCCACTGGGGACCCGGAACGCGTGCTACTTTGATGTATTGTTCGAATCCCTATCTCAAATCGTACCCAAATTGACCAGTTCAATTTTTTTTTTTTCAGGGTCAGCGATAATAAAATGACAAAAAGCCTTAGAAATCAGAACAAACGGCGCAAGGACCAGAATGACGACGGTGGCAAAAAGCATCAGCGGGAGTCCATGGAAGGAGAATCGCCTGAACGAAAGCACCTGAAAGCGGATCAAGGAAACGGTGCCAAGGACGAAGGGAAGGAGGTGACCGAGGAGATGCCGACTGTTTGTGAATGAATCACGTTGCATTTTAGGACATGCGCGCGCCAAAATCCGCGAGACGGTAAAATATCGATCAAATATTCATTGGCATTTTGTGTCACGCAATGTTTATCCCCGTTGCTCGCCACGGCCGTTTTGACACATTCTGTTACACTACTCGCACTGAACAAGCAGTGAGATTTTCCTTCTTAAAACTTACATTACGAATTAAATAAAAACCATTTTAAAATTTTCAAACGAAACGTGATTTTTGACTGCCAAAAAAGAAACGAAAGAAGGATGAGATGGAAGAACAACTGCACTGCCATGAACAAACGGGAACGCAACGAGGACCACATTCCGAACATTGACGGAGAAGGATGCTACATAAGGCAGCTGCCGGCGCCTCCGTTAACCGATCCGAGTCGCCGTTGGTCAGCCTGTTTGAGTCCCAACGAACGGGTGTTCTACCACCAGACGCTGAGTTCGGCACGGAGGGCTGCGAAGTTCGTTACCTTGGGGTGAGTACAGGGTAGATTAGGTACGGTAAGGAATGTCTGCTCCTGGAACTTTTGAGGAAACGTAATAAGAGAAGTTGTAATCACAATCCTTCAAAATCGCTACAATGAGTTATCTACACATTACTACTTGAGGGTTGTTTTCAAACGCTTGAGGCTGTCAAGCATTTTGAAGTTGGCTAAAAAGACCTGTGCACATATTTTAATGGACAAAATTTACAGGACACTGCAATGTTCTTCAAATTATTAATATTTTGGCAGTATTCCCTAGAAGTTCCCAGGAGATTTATCCTGAAAATTAACTTAGTGTTCTCCTCAGTATTCACTATGTATTCTCCATAAATTACTAAGAAATTTTCTAGAAATTTCGATCTACTTTATTTGTTATGACTCAGACTCAGCTAACAAATATCATTTTGCTGAGATATCAGCTAACAAACAGATATTTTGCAGATATATCAGCAAAAGTAAATGCCGAGGTAATCGGCTGTTGGAGATTTTACCGAGCTATATTAAGTGTGTAAGAAATCATTTGGAATTATTGTCAAAATTTTCATTGAATTCATTTCCCTTCTCTTGGAATTCGACTCACTTTAAAAGTTCCCTAAAAATTTACTTGCAGTGAATTAACAAACTCCTTAGTTTTCTCTTCTAAAATTATTTGGCATTCATGTTAGAACTCTCCTGCACACTTAGTTTTTTTCTACCGAGCTCGGCTGTGCAAATCTCGGCAAAAAAAGTTTTACTGAGATCTCAGCAAACATTTAATTTGTGTGCTGATATTCCGCTAAGAATTTTCCGAGACTCAGCAATCAAATGTCACTTTTGCTGAGATCTCAGTCGAACTTATTTTTGCCGAGATTTGCACAGCCGAGCTCGGTAGCAAAAACTAAGTGTGTGGAATTATTTTTCAAATTCCTTTGTAGTTCTCCTGGAATTATTCTTAGATTTAATCCTCTTTTTAGCATACGCCGAAAGCACAGACAAACAAACATAACACTCGCAAGTTGTTCATGAAGCATTTAACGGTAAATTTAAAAGTATCGTAGTTGGTAGTACCACCACCTGTGGCGCACATAGTCAATTCCCTTGCGTTTGACGTTTACACACTACCGCCATCTGTTCAACATACTACCCACCACAGTGTACTCAACAGATGGCGGTAATGTTTTTGCGATGGTGTTTTACGGTGAGAAATATTCAATGTGGTATGTCTGTTTGTCTGTGATAGAAGTAACATACCCGAAAAAATACGTTTAATTTTTTGAGTTGTGGCCATATTTAATGAATAAACAACATGCTAAAGGAGAACTAAATTGCGTATTTGTATGGGCAACATAGGCATAATTCAACATGTGCCTGAGATGCTACTTAATTTATGGCTTTTTTTAAAGTAGCAAAGGCACAGACAAACAGACATAACTCATTGAATATTTCTCACTGTAAAACATCGTCGCTATAACATTACCGCCATCTGTTGAGTACACTGTGGTGGGCACTACGCTGAACAGATGGCGGTAGTGCGTGAACGTCAAACGCAAGGGAATTGACTATGCGCGCCACAGGTGGCGGTACTACCAACTACGATGCTTTTAAATTGTCCGTTAAATGCTTGTTCGATGAACAACTTTCGAGTGTTATGTCTGTTTGTCTGTGGCAAAGGTATACTTGAATACTACGAATCGCCAGGTTGATTCAACACCGTCTTCTCCATTGGACTCGGTCCTGAGCCAATCGCTTCCAGTCGCCATGAACGTTTAGCGACCTGATGTCCTCCTCAACTGCAAATAGCCAACGTGTCCGAGGTCTACCCCGGAGTCGACGACCTCTACCGGGTTCTCTGCTAAATATAATATTTGCTTGTCGTTCTTCCGGCATCCGCACTACATGCCCAGCCCACCGTAGTCTGCCGTTTTTTATAAGCTTCACTATATCCGTACCGTTATACGCTTGGTACAACTCGTGAGTCATGCGACGCCGCCAGATGCCATTCTCCTGTTTACCGCCGAGTATTGTTCGCAGCACCTTACGCTCGAAGACACCAAATGCTCTCCGGTCAGACTCTTTTAACGTCCACGATTCGTGGCCGTAGAGGGCTACCGGAAGTATCAGCGTCTTATACAGAGCGAATTTCGTTTTCGTTTGCAGGCTACGGGACTTCAGCTGGCTACGTAATCCGTAAAAGGCCCTGTTTGCAGCTGCAATATGTCTCTTCACCTCGCGGGTAACATCATTATCGCATGTCACTAGTGTTCCAAGATACACAAATTCTTCCACTACCTCAAATTGTTCACCATCTAACAACACTACACTACCAACACCACTATTGCTCCCACGCTGTCTACCGGCTACCATGTACTTCGTTTTGGTAGAACTTATCGTGAGCCCAATCCTCGCCGTCTCCCTCTTAAAAGGCACAAACGCCTCTTCCACTGCTCTTCGGTCAATTCCGATGATATCGATGTCGTCCGCAAAGGCAAGGAGCATGTACGATCGTGTGATGATGGTACCGTTCCTCTGCACACCAGCTCTCCTAATCGCTCCTTCAAGAGCAATGTTGAACAGTAAGTTTGAAAGTGCATCACCCTGCTTCAATCCATCTAAGGTCACGAACGAGGTCGAAATCTCATCTGCAACCCTTACACTTGATTTCGATCCATCTAGCGTTGCGCGAATCAGTCTAATTAGTTTCGCCGGAAAACCATGTTCTAGCATAATCCGCCAAAGCTCAATTCTCTTCACTGAATCGTATGCTGCTTTGAAATCAATAAACAGATGGTGAGTCTGCAAGTTGTACTCCCGGAATTTATCAAGGATTTGACGCAGGGTAAACATTTGATCCGTCGTTGATCGGCCCTCACGAAAACCAGCCTGGTATTCACCGACGAAGGACTCCTCAAGTGGTCTCAATCTGTTAAACAGAACGCGTGACAGTATTTTGTACGCCGAATTCAGAAGAGTTATTCCTCGATAATTGGCGCACTCGAGTCTGTGCCCTTTTTTGAATAATGGGCAAATGAGGCCATCCAACCAGCTAGCAGGCAGTTCTTCGTCCTCCCATATCTTCGTTAGAATACGGTGGATTGCTTGATGCAGCTGCTCACTTCCGTGTTTGAAAAGTTCGACCGGGAGCTCGTCCTTCCCAGCAGCCTTATTGTTTTTCAGCTCACGTATTGCCTTTTTTTGCAAAGGTATATCTACCTATATGTTTTTATTTTTTCACGAATTTCAAAGTGTATTTTTGCGGAATGATACTGCCTATGTACCAGGCACTGTACCAGGTACCAAGCACTGAAATTATCAGACGGTACCTTTAATTATGCTTTTAGATTAGCATTATAAGTCCCTCCTACTTGGAGATTCAGTCAGAACGGCTATCAGGAGATGTGCTTTGCGCTTGTAGCTAACGTATACGGGAACTCATTTTAACAGTTTTACGGCTAACTGTTTTATGTGCTTGTACTCAGTCTAATAATGGGTGTTCCTTTGCGGTAAGCACATTTAAGATTTATTTGAAAAAAAAAACGATATTTCATATTTTAAATAATAAATAACATAAAACAGATAACGATTAAATAATTTATAACAACATAACTATGATTGTAGTTTGTAAATGTTCATTCGTAATGTGCTAATCATAAAGCATACTTGCTGCTATATTAAGAATCTTGCATAATTATAATTTTCAAGGCTCATAAAATTTGAAGAAAATTTCTAATGAACTCATTCCATTCTGAGAAGAGCTGTAAGTAAGTGCAATGTGCTTTCAAGGTAGTTTGGAAGAACTCCACATTCTATGTGAAACCTATGAAGAATACCAAGGTAGTTCTGAGCAGTGGAGGCAAATGTACATTTATTTTTTCAAAACCATCGTCCAGAACGAAACAAAACAGCTGGCACAGGGTCGCCCCTGGTATACGTTTCAAGCGAACGGTGGAGATAGAGGATAGGAAACATGTCGCAACCCATTCTCTTTAAAACAGTTTATTGTCGCTTTTTACGCGGGGGATACAAGCCGTGTGAAAAAAAAACATGTAGAATTCGAAATTCGCGTGAAAGAAACCGTGTAATTTCCGAAATCCACGTAAATCTGGAATTCGCGTATAAAAAAAAAACCACGTAAATTCCGAAATTTGCCTAAAAAAACGTGTAAACGAGACTCCAGTGTAATTAAATTTTAGCTGCAAGCTTGCGTGTGACAGTAATATCACAGACAAACAGACATAACACATTGAATATTTCTCACTGTAAAACATCATCGCTAAAACATTACCGCCATCTGTTGAATACACTGTGGTGCGCACTACGCTGAACAGATGGCGGTAGTGTGTAAACGTCAAACGCAAGGGAATTGACAGCGCGCTACATGTGGCGGTACTACCGACTACGATACTTTTAAATTGTCCGTTAAATGCTTGTTCGATGAACAACTGTCGAGAGTTATGTTCCGTTTTTTTCCTTGATTTGTTTTCCGTCGATCTTGTTGTCCGTGCTGAGCACCAATGCTACCGACGCCAGGAAGGCAGCTCCCACACCTGGACCCTACCTATCGACCCATCAACTCATGAACCGGGGACCAACGGTTTTACTTTCCTTCCGAAGGAAGGCATGATCAGAGATGTTATGCCTGGCGGCGCCGACTAGGATTGAACCCAGGCCTGCTGGGGTGAGAGGTAATCACGCTTACCACTACACCACCGCTGATCCATTCCGTATTGTATGTAGCTTGTTGAAACAATTATCGGAATAGTAATAAAAGTAACAAATCGACAGAGAGCATGCATAAAGGCGGCAGTATAGATCTTGGAACAATTTAAAGCATCAAACCCAAAAACTAATGCACCGACCGATGCGGTCCTACGTAAAGTTTCCTTTGGCCACTTTTACAGAACTGAACTCTTCTTGTAATTGCGGACCATATTACCGACAATTGCGATACGCATCAAAACAAAAACAAAGCACTGCTAAATTAGTGAGGTTACTTTCTTTTCTCTGCTCACTCT